AAATGCTACAGCCCATTATGCTACCCGTTCCCCTAAAAGCCGTAATTGATGTGATTTGTGTATTCGCTCTCCTGCTCACTGCGGCAAAAAAGATACCTGACCGTGTAATTATCCGAATCTAATGGAACTCACCCTGTCAATAACTTGATAGTTTATTCGGAGTATCAGATGGATTGCGATTCAGCGAGTACCATGTACTTATCATCCCGTTCGGTCAATAAAATCAAAGCCTAAACATACTAACGAATCCCTGTGAGTATATTTTCTATGGGGAAAAGTCTGACGTTTGTCGAAAAGTTGCCTGCTGTTCGTGAGTATTCTCAAGGCCAGTGCTTCAAAATTTGATCAGATAATTTCTTAATGACGGATGTGTGACAAGGAGTCTTTTGCATTGTTATACATGACTTCCCCCAAAATAATCAATTTTTGTGTGCTTTTCTAAAATGGTTTGGAACACATGGCGATAAACAGCACAGTTGTGCTTCGGATTAAATCCATCTAATGGGAAACACAGTAACAGCGGTCTCTGCTGTTTGCAATATGACCCGATCACATTGTCGCTGGCCGTCGCACATGGTTGCTTTTGATGGATGCACCAGGTACAGACATAGACATTGCTTTACCGGTTCAAGCCAGATAGCTATCCCTTGTCTTTTAATGCTCGAGAACTTCGTAAACTGTCTGTTTGTTTACCCCGTCCCCAACGAATCGAGACGAAAGAAAATCGAAGGCAGCTTAGGATATCTTGTTTAGCACAGAAAACCAATGTTGCTTCTATAACATTGTCATCTACTGGTAAACATAACATAGTAGAAAGAACTGGTTCGTTAAGATGAATTCTGAGTAGAGAACAGCTGAATAGCTAGGAGCGGAACTTAGATCTATATATAAATTGCCACTTTCTGATTTCTCCACTCGCACGACGGTGAGCACATTTTGCCAAATATTCAATGACCTAAGGTAGCATTTTTATATCTATGTTCTGAACAGAGTGGACAGTCAATTTATGTAGCGCAACATCTAAGGACAGGCAGAGTTAAACTGCATCACTTGCGCATCTGAAATACCCATAGCAAAGCGTAAACGAACAGGTAATTGAGCGAAGAGCAGGATTCATTTCCTACTCGAACCACGGCCGTCTAACAATTATAAGTCCATACGCTACATTGATCAACGACAATCCGGAAGAGCACTAAACACGCGTTTCGCTCCATTGGGACTCGTCCGTGGGGCGCATTCTTAATTGCAAACGCTATCGCCGTAGCGTATAATGGAAGGAATTCATGACCTGGAAGGCTGGCCACTGTCAACTACAAAGGTTATAACCTAAGTGGCAGTGGAAGTTAGGTCATGCTATACCTCGTTTGACTTACAAATTGTGTAACCCTGATGCCGTCCCCCATGGTTCAGTGGTGTTGCTGGCACGTCAAAAATCCCCGCAAAAACGCACAAGAAACCCCGGAAGAATGGCTGTGGGAAGTGGGGTCCAATTCCTCCCCACAACGTAGCAGTGATCAGCCACTCCGAGACGCGGCCCAACTGCGCACTTTTGGAAAAGGCCTTTTACAAACTACCACCTCGTCATGGTAGAAATTTTCCCTAACTTAATGACCCATAGCACTGGCTGTGATTCGCCCTTTGTTGGTCATAAAAGAGCCTACAGAGGACCGCCTGTCCTTTTTCCTCTTCGCCTTACTTGGGAGTCGGTCGGGGCACGTGATTGCGTGGGTCGTTAACTGGCCAGCCTTCGCGTCTAAATCCTTAGCGCGCGTCTATAGTAACCCCCTCTCGTGTGCGTCCTTTCCGAGGGCTCAGCGTCTATCCCAACACGTATGGCTAGGATCGTTCACACGCCCGCTCAGTTTTTCGTCTCAAAGTTAAGCTAGCGTCATCAGGTCAGCGCAACGCCGTTCGATTGGTCAGCGTTACAAGTCGTCATCGTACGCGTGCGCCAACCGTGCCAGCGACAATCTTATCAGGCAATTACGCAATCATATCAAGAGGCGTTTCCCTCAATTATAACAAGTGGCTTAGGCTGCTGGCTGGTTGGCGCCAGCCTCTAGAGGTCACGGGTTTGATCCCCAGTAGAAGATCGAGGAAATTCGAACCATGACGAGCCTCAATAGGGCGAAACACGCCTGGGGCTTTTCCGTATTGTGGTTGCGCTAGGTGGCTTATGAGCTGCTGGAACGAATAGATTAAAAGAGAACTGCCATCTTCCTACTCAAACGTCACAGGTTTTCAGGCAGTCATTCAAAACTTCCAGGTCTTCCACAACATTCTGTTTGAAGCAACCAATTTCACCTTAGCATTTCCCACATTAACAGCACATTTGCCATTACCTAAACATATGGTCACATGATTTATTTCAAGTAAGGCAATTCTCTAATTGTTTCTATCAGCATGAATACTAGAAATACTCACCTCTAAGCGTCCCAGTCAAGAAAGCGAGAAACGAAATAAATCAGTGGTATCATACGGGTGAATTCCAAGCCATGCAGATTCCATTAAAATTGTCTAGCTGGAATACTGGAGTGCAGAAGCAGCCCTCAAACGAGGAGGATGGCGCGGAGACGAACTCACAACCATACTCACATTAACTCAAACGTAAAACTTTCTACCTCTGTTCCATGTGTAGTAGGTGAGTACCGGGCGAGTTTGGGCTTTATCATCATTCCATAAACTTCGATAGTAGCAGGTAATGCTTATGATATGCTTTATCACATATTCAGTTGCTAACTATGAAATAAGTTGGTGCAGGAATGACGTAAGTTGAAGAGTGCTCCCCGGTTAAAGAAATCGGTAGAAAGAAATCCGGCGATATTCTGACGGGCTTTGTTGTGCTACAAGCTTTAGGTAGTGGCACCTTAGTTTGATCTGTGGATAAGTTTCAGGAGGTGTTGATAAAATATGGCAAGGAAGGTTGAGGTCCCAACGTGGATGACGATGCTTTGCACAGTACAGTCCTAGGTTTGTTAGTCTCAGCCGGTGCGACAGACGGAAATAGCCCCATGCCCTGTTGGTTACTGCTGGCTATCACCTCTCTGATGCATGCAGACCGAAATTGTGGCGTGATTACCTGAACCGAATTGCATACTGTAAATAATTACTCACATACTTGTTGAGCATTTGTGGGGAGGTGACACAAACACGCCATCTGAACATTTCACGTAAGAGAACAAGATTTAGTCACCTGGGTCTACCAAACCCACGGATTGCTCCAAGCAGTTCGCGTCATCCTTATTCACTACGCCAAGGTCGCGCTCATTTGAAGCAATCTGTATGGTACTATCTCCTAAACTATACATCCTATTTTGTTGATAAAGCACATGGACCAGGTTGCATCTATCTATATTAAACAATAGTTGAGTCAAAATGACCATTCAAAAGCAAAATCTGCGTCATATTGCGCAAAATCGTAATCTGCCCAATTGCCGGTCATCCATCAAATCTTGATTCCAGTCGCAAAAACAAGAAGTTCCTGGTAATTACAGAAATGACTTAGATGATGAAATAAAGCATAGGCGCATTCTTGGCGCTAATCTTTGTGTTACTCTGTTTTCTACCTCTGTCAAACGGTACAAGAGGTCCGAAGCAACGCATGAAGCGGCGGCTAATATAGGAATTTGCCGAGTAACCCACGGACGCGATTCCCAATTGCGAAGGTGTGCAGCTTATGAGGTACAATGCGGCCATACCGGTCTCTGAAATCCTTGGGAACTTCAATTAAATGACACCAGTTCTAACCTTCTTATCTGCAATTTTATTCCGACTTCCACGCACAAGCCTAGATGGCAAGAGGTGTTGCTGTGGTGCTGTTATGTGGGATGTTTTTTACTTGGCACAATAGGACCCCATTGATGATAACTTCCATGACCTTTGCCAGTAATTAAAAGAAAATGAGTGGATGACAAGTTTCAGATATTGCCATAATACCACCCTTAAATGGAGTGAGTTTGATGGTTTCTACATGGGTGGAGAGCTGCTGGTTTTGCGACGATGACAACTTGTTTGCTCTAGTTGCCGAACTAAACGTGGGACGAGTTGCTTCTTGTTTTGGGAGATCGGAAGTGGTATGGGACACGATTTGATGACACATCAGAGTGTTGGAGCGTATTTCTTCTGTAGAGAATTAACGGGTTTAGCAGGGCTTTGTGTTAATCGGTCCATTGAGACGAACAAGTGTCGTGCTCTTAGTCAGCAAAAGAGTCGGATATATTTATTTTATGAAGAGTCATTGGCTATCTGCAGAAACAAAAAGGGTGCAGAATGTTTTGCTCTTCACCGATTATATTGCGGGCCATCGAATCTACCAGCGCTTACGTCGTACTATGACGCAACGAGTCTAGGTACTCATCAGCCTCGTTTTTTCCATTCTCCTCCACTGACTTCATAACCGATAGTCACTCATTTTACTTCAGGTAACCACTGGCCCATTTAGCTACATGGCTGTTGCAATTAGTTGAATGTGCAACGATAAGTAATCCCACACTTCAGGTAACGAAGGTGCTTTCAAGATACGTGCTGCTTCAATGCAAAGAGAGAATATAACACGTGGTTTACGATAAGTTGCTTTGTATGATGGTATCAGGTCAAATTTACCCAAATATGCTTATTCTAATCAGTTGTTTATGTTCTGGCTAACTCAGCGCAATTGTATGAACAAGTTATTAAAGTTTATTTTTGCACAAAATCAAAGGAAGGGGAAAGCGGGACCCTAAGCTTTCACTACTTTAGATGGGGTTGTGGTGCTGACCTTGAATTAACAATTGCTTAAGAGACCATTCGTACGTCCAGAACCGGCGCCGTTGCGTTACTCTAGGGCTTCCTGCAAAACAACAGAAGCAAACGGCGGCCCTTTGATGCACTAGAGAACACACCTTCCAACTGATGGCAGAATATATGGAAATCGCTATCTGGACTAATCGCTTAATTGAAACCTCATAATTACACGTGTAGTATAGTCGCTAATTTTACAGTGGTCATTATTTATTTTCCAGGAGCGAACTGTGAGCCTAAATGGTGCGAGGCAGTGCCACTTCTGTAACAAGAAAGTGTATGCACCTGAAATGTTGCACATAATGAGCCGGTACTACCATCGGACCTGCTTCCGATGCACCCGCTGCAATCGTCTGCTTGAGTGAGTTTGCATCGAAAATTCATCAGCTAAATGTGAACTTTAGTGCGTAAATGTGTAAAGTACTTGGTTGCCAAGGCAGCAAAGTGCGATAAATCAAATAAAGGAAGAAAACAGTTCTGAGCACACCGATACCAGTTTGTGTATCATTTGCATGGTTCGAAAAATAATTAAGAGTACACTGTAGGTCGCAAAAACGACGACGGGTCATATGTGTTTTAAAGTTCAACTTATTTTTCGCACATCAATCGGTAATTCGCTTGTGTATTTTCCAAATAGGAATGAACTATTCGTTTAAACTGTGTGACTTGTTTGGATATCTAATTACAAATTCAGACTAACCATTGGTTCTCAATGACGGGAAATTTCACTTCTCACTACCAAACATGGATTAAGGCTTCGTAAAAGTACGTGTGTTTCTTTATGGCAGAATATACATTTACTGTAAGGACCAACCCATTTTCCACTACAGTGATGAAAGAATCATTCCCACTCTGCCTCATCGGTTGCTGTAACAGTCGAGTTTGTCTTTTTTTCTATTCTCACAAATGCAGCATTGGTCGTTACAGTGTTCACGAAAAGGTGCCTTATTGCTTACCACATTACGATTGGTTGATCAAATCAGGAAGTAAGTAATATAACTCTAACAGCGTGCCTCAGATAGTCGCGAATAAATTTTGTTTATTTATTTAGTTAAAGTATCGTGGTTATTAATAAGACTATCTTCGCAGCAACCTGAAATTGTGCACCAAAAAGTAGTTTATTGGAACATTCAGCTTTTCCGTTTCATTTGTTGATACTTGCACAACACGCACGGTCAGTGCCTCAATGGCATTAGCATTCTGGACAACGCATGCTGTATGGTTGCCCATAGAATTTGACAATGAGCGTTTACCCATAATGATAAGTTTAAATATGGTAAAGCCTAAGTATCTAAGATCTCGTTTTTGATGTCCGAATGCTGTACTCATATCCAGATTGTATCCAGATTTGTAAGATGTCTTGTCTATGTATGTCACGACTACGACCTACAGCCATAAAAGTAAACGATGACAGTCGCTACTTATGTTTAACCTCACTGTATTCAACTGACTGGCATCAATATTGGAAAACTGCTTGTGTTATTACAGATATTGGTAATGTTTCGGCTCACACCCATAGGATCCTCTCACAGTTTAAATTGCTCATAAGTACATTAGCATGTTGCTATCAAAATATCACGTCGTGATGTTACTACCACGACACTTCACTTGGTCAAAACAAAAATTATTTTCACTCCGTTTATAGAGTTCTTCATAAGATCTATCCAAATTGTTTCTGCCTATTCCTTACTGCTTATTTGCTATGCTGTTTTCCACTACAAAGTCGGTCTCGTCACTAATATTTACTATGCAACTGTAGTGAAGCAGGTATTGCTTTTCTTTGAAGGTAACACCAATATAACTATGAAAGCTGTGCATGCCGAGGATAGTGACAAGGAGGCAAAAGAAAATCCACCCACCAGCGTGTTCAATGTGAGTTCCCTGTCTAACCGTAATTTTGAACGATAGCTAACTTATACGTCATTCAACGGAATCATATTCAGAACCGTCGGTGCTCTTCACTAGGTTGGACTTTCAGTCACACTACTCTGTCATTCAGAAAGATACTTCCAAATGTATGTGCCAATCAGCTGCACCAAAATCACTCCAACCCAGCCAAAGCACTATAGGTTGTCGATTGATGACCAGTATATTAACGTCCATGTGAATCAAATACGCTTCACTTGCAAAACCACATGTTGTATGTGTTGTTGGTACGCGAGAATGGACTCTAGAATTAAAGACAAATACTACCTATACTCTTTCCAACAGAAGGCAGAAGCATTAGGGGCGAATGATCAGAGTGAGTGCAATTCGTCAGTGCAACCTGCAGGGTGGGAACAAAACCTTCAAACATTCGAAGTGAGTTATGAATGCACTTGGACTACTTTTAATATTTTTAGTATTTATAACCATTTTACAACTATGCACAATGACATCTCTTTCTGAGACCATGGAAAATTCTTCACATTTTAAGTTCGATCAGCTTCCGTTGCAAGCGAAACACACAGAGATATGCTTATAGCATGCAATACTATTCCGAACACAATCTTTGTGTTGTTGTTGCTGAGGTGAATCGGCCGCGATAAACACCACTTAGTGTATAAATTAATGAATTCATTAGTGCACTCAGAAAATGTTGCAAAAAGGCGAATCATCATCGTTATACACATCAGCTAGAGGTGGGAAAACACCGCTATTGTGCCGCAATACATGAAGAAAATACATACATGCATATACATATAATACAATGAACAAAGGAAAAATAGATACAACAGTTGCATGCCAGCTGAGCTACCGGCAACGGATAGGCATCGTTCCGGTAAGCTACCAGCCAGCTACTAGGCAAAAAGAAAAAAAATTATTATGTTTTACCCTACGAAATGAGATCGTAGATGGAGGTGGAGGCTAAAATGGATGGGGAGGGACAAAGAAACTCACAGCATAAACGCCACTGAGATCGGCTCCTTGCCATGTCAGCAAGTGTATCCAGCCAAACGTGTTCACCGTCTTTTGGACCCCAACCAGGGAGCCGTGACGCTCCGACAGAGGCTAGCTCCGAAGTGAAGGACTTCATTCCCCTGGACCAAGTCATTGCTTGGCCACCTCTCCTCTTCATCCACCCACATCCCCGATGAGCAAACAATGCACGTCGCGGGAGTCGATGCGCTAGCATGCGCAACACGTGGCCCAGCCATCGGAGTATGGTGCGGGAAATAACGGTGCTGAGCGGTTCAGATCCTTTTCCCGTGCCACAAACAAGGCGTCGAACACGCTCATTGCTCACGCGGTGTTCCCACCAGATGTGAGCCAAACTGCGAAGGCACCGATGGTCGAACGTAACTAGCCTCTTCATGTCCGCCGATCTTAAGTGCCAGGTTTCACAACCGTACAGAAGAGTCGAACGTCCTGCTACATTGTACACTCTACCCTTCAGAGCGAGAGTGATATCGCGCCGGTGCCATAAGTGGCGAAGGTTAGCAAATGCGCCCCGAGCTTTCGCTATACGGCTCGTGATCTCATCTTCAATCCCAAGGGTACTGATACAACTTCCCAGGTAATTGAATTTCTGAACGACTTCTAGCTGATCCCCACCAAGGTCCAGCGTAGGAGGCCATCCCTGCCAATCTTGGAGGAACACTTTGCACTTCGAGGATGCAAAGCAAAGCCCGAAGCGGCTGACAGCCAGTGCTAATCTGACCAGCGCGGCTTGGCACGTCTGGGAGCTGTCACAAATGAGGACAATGTCGTCTGCATACTCCAAGTCAAGAAGTCGTTCTCCTGGGAGAACGAAACTAACTCATCATTAAGTTGCTATGCTATCAACAACAATAAATGTCCCGGTTGTAGCAGGGATATACACCTCAGAATTGAGCGTTTAAATCGCTAGTTAGTAATTAATTCAAGGGTTAAAAATAGGAGCGTGGTTATTTCAAAATCGGAACTCATACGATGCTTCACTATATTAGCCACATTCTTGAGCAGTCTGGTATGTGATATTGAGCGGAGAGCACCTTTGAAGTTTTGGGGTTATAGCAAGAGACAAACCCCACCCTAATCGAAGAGTTACATCTTTGGGAATCACAAAATTGACAGCCGAACAACCTCTCAGTGGTACCAGATGGGTAATTTGATGTTCAGTCATTCTGGTGAGTGGTTCAGCGGTGGTGTACCAGGAATGAGTGGGTTTACGCCTGGCAAGCCTTCCCTCTACCAAACCCACAAATGTCTGTTTAACGACTGCGAAGTGGTGGGTGTGACTCGCCATTAAATAAAGTCACTGACCTTTGCCTACCGGAGGCTCATTTCCAATCCACTGACGTCAGTCATCCACCTCGAATATTTAATTTGATCCCTTCTCACGCTGACGGCTAGACCAGACACAGTCATGAATGCATCGTCACATACACAAATTCAATCAACACAGCTACACAAATACATGGTTAGCGGCATCCGGTTTCGGTTTTGCCTGTCACTGTGGTCAGCCACAGGACGCCTGCGCCTACAGAGGGACCATGGATGACTTGTGCTGCACCACCCACAGCTCCATCCACACACCCCATATCCAGTGTAAACCCGAAGGAATAAGACCGGGAGGCATGCGGATGGGAACCACGTTTCATCAACGGAGCCGGCCCACACTCCTTCACAGGCAAACACAAGTACACTGTATTTGGGAATGAAGCGCACACAAGGCGGTGGCTGGACCGTAGTCCGCTCCACACTGAGTGCATGGAACCACTCTTCGAGCCTAGCACGGCCATAAGGACCGTGCACCCCGTCCCCTCCAGCAACGACCAACTGTCTCCTGGAGCCAGTATGGACGAGGTAGTGGGTAATAGACAGGTAGGCACCTTGTCAACATGCACATCAAGCGTAGCCGCACCGGGGATATCAAACAACAGCCAAAAACTTGAGAGAGAGAGAGAGAGAGAGAAAAGGAGAAATACTCGATTAATGCATAAGGAAACGGTGATATAAACTTTAATTAAATAGCATATGTAATAAGTTGTTTACAAACAAATCCTAGCTAAGTGAACGAGGTCAGGAAATATAGTTCACGGAATGCCACGAACACAAATATGCTGCGGAAATCGAATACAGTTGGCTTAGGCGAGGTGTGCAAGTTAATGGAATAGAGTACTGGCAGACATTTATATGAGAAAGAAAAGCATTAAGGCACAAACTGTAAACCCACCACCTGAAATAAAGAGACTTAGCATGCAAGCACGCGGTTAGTAAATCGAATTCAGCGTGCCTACAAACGCTGCGCTGGCTCGCCGTAATTCTCTGCAGGACCCGTCGTCGCTGCTGTAGTGGCCCCAAAGGACATAGCTCATGGCCCACTAGACATTTATATGAGAAAGAAAGGCATTAGGAGAGAACCGAAAACCCACCACCTGAAATAAAGAGACTTAGCATGCAAGCATGCGGTTAGTAAATCGAATTCAGCGTGCCTACAAACGCTGCGCCGGTACTGCCTACGTTCACTGCTGGACCCGTCGGCGCTTTGGCAGTGGTCCCGAGTGACCTCTCTCATGGCTCACTAAGCCTGCCTGACTAAGGCACTCGCGACCGCATGTTCTACAGCACCATGCGCTCGATGTCGATGGAGTACAATTCATCGGTGCTTGCCGCTTCCGCACTTGCCGCTTCTTCTATGCATGCATGAGGGCTTTCTCCCGCACTTCAGCAACTGCCTTCGTGATTAGATCGCGCCATGCACGCCAATCAACCGCCTTCGATTCCCATGATCTGCAATCAAGATTAGAACGTGTGAGGCTCACTTTAATCATGTCCTGGTAACGTAAGTTCGGTTTCCCCACGTGCCGCTTCCCTATACTCAGCTGACCGTATAAAAGTTGTTTCGGTATTCGTGTCGAATCCATACGGCTCACATGACCGAGCCATCTCAGGTGTCTCAAGTAAAAGTATGCCGTCCACTGCATACATCCCACTTCGGCGCAAAACTTCCGTGTCTGCAACTCTGTCGCCCCAACCGATCCGCAAAATTCGTCGCAGACACTGCTGATGGAACCGCTCGAGATATCGCACATCCCGACGGTACATCGTCCACGTTTCACTGCCGTATAGAAGGACGGACAGTACCATGGATGTGTACACCATCAGCTTCGTGCCAATGCTAAGCTGATGGTTGTTCCACACTCGGTACTCAAGTTTCCCGAATGCCGCTGCTGCCTTCGACACGCGAATGCGCAACTCAACGTGTAGCTGCTGATCAGTCGACATCACACTCCCAAGGTAGCAGAAGCGGGAGGTGGTTTCCAATACTTCAGCACCAATGCTGATTTGCGGCAATATTGAAGATTGCACCTCCGGTGAAGGCTGAAAGAGACAGACAGTTTTGCTTGTGTTGATGGTGAGCCCGAATTTGGTCGCTGTCGAAGCCAGAGCACTAGTCATATGCTGCAACTCATCCGCGCTGTGTGAAAACAACGCACAGTCGTCAGCAAACAGCAACATACGGATAGTTGTCTCACAGACTAGAGTTCTCGCACCGAAACGACGGTTACTGGTGACGTTGTAACACAACTGCACATTTACCAAGCATTTGTATTCGTTTTCCTAAGATCCTGAAGGCTTGCCTCTCATTGTTTAGAATACATTTATTTTCCATTATGCCTGACAGTGCAAGGTAGAAAGTAGTCGCACCAGAACATACATTTGAACGGATTCATGCTGAAAGTCAAAAACCGAGGCTTTCAGCAGGCAATGAATAGGTCCACTTATAAGATGTAGGACACGTCCAAATTGCCAATTGCGAACGGATGAATTATGAACGCTATAGTCCCACTCATTGAGATACATGGTCTAGCAAAACTTGTATGCCCATGGTGTATGAGAAAGTCACAACGGTTGTTGTTAAGCGGCTTTTAGTTGGTTGTTCCAAGGCGGTTGTGACAATTCAGTGAATTAGGACACTGGACATGCCCCATCCACGATTCTATCCTCGTATTTATTGACATTACCCACCAATAAAGGTGAACCTGTCAACCGGTAACATTTTAGAAGTTATGGTGAACGACCGGTTGGGCACACGACGTTTCGCTTTTGGCACAAAAGCTTCTTTTAAGAGTTGCTGATAGTAAGACTTAAAACACTTTCTAATTTTCTACGCTGAGTTACACTTAATACCAAATCTGACTTCTTACCAGTCCAACATACTTGTCACGACCTGCAAGCTTATCAATATAAGTATCAACCCCCTCAAGTGTAGTCATCAAATGTTTGAACCTACATGTTTGTCATTTCTTCCATTTCCGTCCTTTTGCTCTTTTAACCTCGGAGACGATAGTATAAGGTCTGTCATAAGCAACCTGTGTCCCGGCAGTCTGTAAATCAAATTCCAATAGTTCAGTATATAGTTCAATAGTGTATGGTGGGATAAAAAGCAATAACTTTACAAGACCCACAGGATGGCAAATGGAAGAAAACAAAAGTTTCAGGTGTGACACAAAAATATCAGTAAGTTAGACACTGCAGTTTGTCATACCGTTATATAATGTGTATCATGTAAGTGCAAGTCCAATAGTCTTTCGAATGTCTTGATGTTTGGTGCGTTCACCACATGCGATGGCAGTGCGTTCCAGTGCGGACAGACACTAAGAGAGTATAAAAAACTTTCTACAATCTAAACGGGAATATTGAGTCACAAGTTTTAGTGCATGGCCTCGGCATCGTTTGTCGGCAGATAATGTTAACAGCGACTTACATGGATGGTCCTCTTCTCTTAGTATCCGGTAAGTGAGGATCAGATCACCGCGAAGTCGTCGGTATTCTAAGGAGTACAGACCGATCGAACGAAGGCGCAGTTCATAACTAAGGCCCGATAGACCACGTGTTGCCTTAGTGGCTCTTCTTTGTGGTTGCTCCAGGAGACGAATGTCCCGTTTTAACCACGGACGCCATGCCTGCACCGCATACTCGAGGTGGGGACGAATGTAGGCGTTAATCAATAGTGGCACGAGTTGCCGCTCGAAGGTACCGAGCGCTCGCCTCAAAAGCCTCAAGTTTAAGTTCGCTATGTTAGCTGCCTTTGAACATTGGAGCGAATTACCCAGACCTTCTTGCACGATGATCCCTAAGTCTCTTTCGTTGCTCACCTGTTTTATAACGCGCTGCCCCAGGTGATATGTGTTGCTGCAGTTACTGCGCAGCGACAACAGGTGACACTTTTCGGGGTTCAGGGGTAGTTGGTTGTTTACTGCCCATTCGTGAATCCGGTTCAGGTCATCCTGCAGATAGACAGGGTCAGATGTTGACTGAATAGCTCGCCACATCTTAGCATCGTCGGCGAATATTTGCATAGGTGATTGAATGTTGGCAGGGAGGTCGTTGATATAGACTAAAAAGAGTAACGGGCCGAGAACTGATCCTTGCGGTACGCCGCTAGTGACGCATAGGCTATCGGAGTGGGTGTTGGCGATCCTTACCTCGATTCTTCTGTCGTATAAGTAACTTTCCAACCATGTGAGCAAGGATCCGTGGATACCATAGGCCGCAAGCTTTCGGAGAAGTGCTGGGTGATTGACTCTGTCGAATGCCTTAGAAAAGTCTAAGTAAATCACATCTACGGGAACTACCTCGTCAGCAGCCCTGGTCCATGAGTCCCGAGCAAGTAGTAGATTGGTGAGGAAAGATCGTCCGCGTCTGAATCCATGTTGGAGGTTGGAGATGATTTGTAGACTTTCAATATATCTCACCATTTCATCAGCGATTATAGACTCCATCACTTTTGATAGAACAGGAAGGAGAGTAATAGGTCGGTAGTTGGCAGGGTCTGACCGCTTACCTCCCTTGTATATCGGAGTGATAAGTCCACGTTTCCACTCAGACGGAAGTGTATGAGAATCAAATAGAAACTGGAAAAAGGTTGCAAAGTGGACTGCCATGGTGGGTGCAAGGGTTTTAAATACTTTCGTACAGATCTTGTCAATTCCCGGCGCACTATTTTCCCTGAGCGACTGTAATTTCTTTGCCACAGATGTAGGGCTAAAGCTGACCATGGACAAGCCGACGACATTTGCTGGGATGTAGCAAGGCGATGGTTCCATGGTGTGTCTAGTCACTGAGACAAACTGCATGAGCAATGCGTCCGCGGTCTCCTCTTCAGTAACCTTTAGGCCATTGACCGTCTCTAGTGGTGGTATTCCCGTCTTAACCTTCCTTTTGTCATTCACATACCGGTAAAGCAGTTTGTGATTGCTAGTAAATTTTCGTACCATAGTTTCCTGCCATTCGTACTTGTCAGCTTTAAGGAGTGAAGTGCAGTAGTTTCTGACTGTTTTGTAATGATTCCACGTGATATCACTTGGACCTAGCAAATGACCCCTCCAAGCCTCGTCTCGCCTATTCAACCACTTACGTGTTCTACTCCGGATCCAGTTGTTGCTCCGTCGCGAAACTCGTAACGGTACATCTTTTGAAGCTGATTGTATGACCCAGTTTATCTTGCCTTTCAACACTTGCCAGGCATCATTCGCCGAAGTGTGCATCTGGAGGTCCCAGTCAACGGTTGTCGCTATAGTGTGAAGCTTGGAAAAGTTGGTGATGAATCGTCAGGTTTCTGGTTCTTTGTCAACCATACTGGCATAACACACATAAGCAGTTGACTTACGTAGAGCCGGACTTCACCCAGACATCTATTTGTCAAGTAGATACCTTGTCTCAGAAACGCGTTGCCTTCTCTTTGTGCTATGCATGTTGAAGTGCACGAAGTATCTGGAGGTTTGGCTTTAAGGGTTTGGGGATCATATTGTTCTTGAGATTCAAATTTACAAATTCAGTCTACAGTTTTACCACACAAGATCCGTATCTGTATTCCATACCTCGGAATTTACTTGAAAGCGGTCGGGGAATCATCACCAAGTTCCATTTGAGTGTCAAAAGTGACACAGAAGAGAAGCGTCGTTTGCGCAACAAATACATTAAGCGGCAGTTCACCAAGCCTGCTGAAGTAATGACTTTCGGATCCATCCTAAACATGTTCGAAAATATCTCTTAACAACCTTTATTTGTAGCCAATGAACATTTTTTATACAGCAAGCCACCAATTAAATTCACTTTTCCAAAGACAAATTAAACACCTTGATAGATCTATTTACTGAAGCCCTTTATGCACTCACACAATTTCATTTCGTACGCGGTACGGCGAGGCGGCAGTGAAAACAGGGACCAATATGGGTACTGCTCGTAGTACGGTTTACTGTTCATCCGGTGGAGTCGAATCTACCCCAACCACAATGTGTGGGTCCTGACTGACGAGCCGAATCCTCAGTGATCCAACCAAAATGGCTGCTCCCCAGATCCCTAGTGAAGAGTGCAAGCTTAGCTTGAATTTGACGCTAGTCCCCTAATGCACCTTAGTTACTGTTGACCGTAAACTGCACCGCGAATTTCACATAGTGTTTCTTCCTTGCTTGACCCACTACGGTACACTGCAGAAGTAGACATCCGTCGCTCCTGCCTAATCTGGGCTGTTTAAGCTAATGTTTAGACGGATCAAAAGCCGGTTGCACATGTGTATTCGGTTTGTTTTTTCTTTGTCCATCTAGCAATCATCCAATCCCAAACAACCACGTTGTCACACTTGTGGACGTCTTGTTCAGTCCTGTCAAGTCATCGTGCTTCCTGACAAAGTATTCCATCCAGACTGCGCAAAGTGCTTTACATGTCAGATAGCGTTGAGGTGAGTTTCCGCTTGGTATCTATTCGACTGACTACGTGGAGCCAGTGTCATACTCGTCATCATTCAGCTAACGGATATTTGTCCACAGCACTTCAAGTTATCGGGACTTCCAGGGCAAGATTTACTGCGCTCCACACTACGCTCAGGCAGGTGAGTTAAACAATTCACGCCATACGGCTAACTCATATCCACAGGGAATAACGCAAATAATGGTTCAAATTCGTCGCTATGGTGCTACCTAGCGAGACAGTCTATATAGGTTATGGAATATGGTGTATTTATGGGACAAGATTATTCAAATTAACGTGTATCATTTCGAAGCTTGTCAATAGTCGTGACCCACTGAGTTAGTAAATTTAAGTTTCATGTGTTTACTGCTCAACCAAAGGCCTTGAAATGAGGTTACTTTAAGTCAAAATCAGACCTAGTTGACCGAATAAGTGACAACTTTGGATCATCGGGCAACCCGAAATTACGGTTGAAGCACTGGGTGGGCCCGTTTTAGGAGTCAAAGTTCCCCTGGTACGACTGATGCACGGTTCGTCTGAAGAAAAGACAATGAGCGTTCCCACTGGTTCCTCCTTGTTATGTTTGCCGCAAAAAAGCGCTTTGTATCGCTACAAACTACGTATTTATTACGTAGTTAATTTTGGGACTTAATAGTTTGGCAACAAGCTTTTTGTTATATATAAATGTTGTCTTCCCATGCATCACTTATTTCTTACCTCTAAACGCGACACTGATTTACAATATATATATATATATATATATATATATATATATATATATATATATATATATATATATATATATATATATATATAGGTATGTTGTGGGTTTTCAATTTTGTCCTAATGCTTTTCTTTCCCATATACAAATCTACCTGTACTCTCTTCTGCAAACTTGCACACGTCACTTAAGCCAATTTTAGTTGATTTTGATAACGTTTTCTTGTTTGTGGCATTTCCGTAAAGTATACTTCCTGACCTCGTGAACTTACCTCCCATGCTTCTGTAAACAAATTACTTCATATGCTCACTACTTTAAGATATATGTCACCCTTTCCTTTTGCATTACCCAAGTTATTTTTTTTGTTATCTTCCTCCGAAGTGCCGGGCTGTTGCTTGATATCCCCGGTGTGACTGCGCTTGATGTGCATGTTGACAAGATGTCTACCTGTCAATTGCCCACTCCCTCACCCATACTGTTTCTAGGAGACAGTTAGTCGTTGCTGGAGGAGACGGGGTGCACGGTTCTTGTGGTCCTGCTAGGCTCGAAGAGTGGTTCCATGCAGTCAGTGTGGAGCGGACTACGGTCCAGCCACCGCCTTGTGTGCCCATGATTTCCAAATACAGCGTGCTTGCTGCGATATAGCGCGTCTTATCCTCCACTGCCACGCAAGTTACGAACGTTGCAGAGGACAGCGTTGGCCTTGAAAGACACGACGTCCACTAACAGTAGCTATGTACGACACAGCATTTAGAAACTGTCAGGGCGGATATAATTTGCTGTACTCATGAGTAGGGGATTTTGATGTAATTATGTGAGGTCCACCGCAGTCAGTTTCCAAATCAGATAGTCGTCCACATGCCCGGAAAAACACCAGACTGCTGTTTCAGCCTGTTGGGCATCGTCAATAGTGCGCATCCATCGGATCCGTCAGGATTCGGGGCTAACCCTCTCCTCTGCAACGTCCGTAAGTTGCATAGCAGTGGAGAATAAGACGCGCTATATCGCAGTTAGCGTGTAAATCATGACGGTCCGAATCTCTCCCCCGTGGCCCAGTGGCATAAGCTGCTGACTGGCGGTTCAAGCCGCTGGTGGTCGTGGGTTCGAATCCTGACGGATCCGATGGATGCGCACTACTGACGATGCCCAGCAGGCCGAAACTGCAGTCTAGTGCTTTTCCGGGCACGTGGACGACTATCTGATCTGGAAACTGGCTGCGGTGGACCTCACATAATTACATCAAAATCCCCTACTCATGAGTACAGCGTGCTTGTGTTTGCCTGTGAAGGAGTGTGGGCTGGCTCCGTTGATGAAACGTGGCTCCCATCCACATGTCTCGCGGTATTATTCCTTCGGGTTTACACTGGATATGAAGTGTGTGGTTGGAGCTGTGGATGATGCAGCGCAAGCCATCCATGGTCCCTCTGTAGGCGCAGGCGTCCTGTGGCTGACCACAGTGACAGGCAAATCCGAAACCGGATGCCGCCAACCATGTATGTGCCCCTTGCTGAAGCTGATGTTGCATTCATGATGCTTCTTCACCGCATTTGGGCTGAACCAACTCACACTTAAACTAGGTCTTTTTACGCTGGATAAATTTTATTCCACCTTATTTGGTTTGTTCTGCCTACCTGAATAATCTATTAACTGGCCACGTTACTTAGTCAAATTGCGCTTATCTTCGGTAAATTTGTTGCGTTTGTAGCAGTTTTAAGTAACTTGTGGACATTTCTTACCTATCGCGGATTCGTTGCTAACCAACTTAGTTCATATCGTAATTTAGCGAAGAGTTATGACACCATATTTGTATACATTATTGGATTCATTTTATTTTATCCTGTCGTTTCAAGTGAATGGCTGTTGCTTGATATCCCCGATGTGACTGCGCTTGATGTGCATGTTGACAAGATGCCTACCTGTCAATTAGCCACTACCTCGTTCAAACTGGCTCCAGGAGACAGTTAGTCGTTGCTGGAGGAGGCGGGGTGCACAGTTCTTGTGGCCGTGTTAGGCTCGAAGTGTGGTTCTATGCAGTCAGTGTGGAGCGGACTACGGTCCAGTCACCGCCTTGTGTGCGCTTGGTTCCCAAATAGAGCGTGCTTGTGTTTGCCTGTGAAGGAGTGTGGACCGGCTCCGTTGATGAAAAGTGGCTCCCATCCACATGCCTCGCGGTCTTATTCCTTTGGGTTTGCGCTAGATATGAGGTGTGTGGATGGAACTGTGGGTGGTGCAGCGCAAGCTATCTATGGCCCCTCTGTATGCGCAGGCGTCCTGTGGCTGTCCACAGTGACAGGCAAATCCGAAACCCGATGCCGCCAACTATATATGTATGTACACCCAGAGTCCTCGGGTCTAGCTCATGGTAAGTTCACTGACTCATGAGGATTGGTGTCCTGGCTCTGAAATATATATATATATATATATATATATATATATATATATATATATCTGTCAGATCCATGACACCAATCCTCATGAGTCACTGAACTTACCATGTGCTAGACCCGAGGCCTTTGGGTGTACTTAAAGTCGAAGGCTTTCGCTGAGGACCTGAGTCGTTCTCCTGCCAGGTGTGAGCGGCATGCCAGTATCCTAGTCCAAATCCCTTCATCTTCGGAGCTTAGGTATTGGTCGATGGCCCTCTTCCCTTATAAAACCTAGCTATGAGAGACAACAGGTCTACAGGTTTTAAGCTCACCGCTCAATAGGCGTAGATCACGAGCACCACGCAATGTCTCCGACGTTGGGAGAGCACCTCTGGGTGCTCAGTGGGTTGCTACTGCCCGCCTCAAAGCAGACAGTCGCTGATCAATTAGCTGCAAATCCGCCAAAAGCCTCGTGCGTCTGCACGGTGGCAAAACGGATGAATTTTTCCAGCACTTCAAAAGCTGCGTGTGACGGACCTCAAGCAGATGCCAGTGTGTCTCTACAATCACCTATCCGAGCTAACTCTGCTCCCAACTGCCTTATGTGTCACGCTGTTGAGTCAAAGGCTTTAGGTGGAGTCCCTCAAGCAAACCTCCAAGCCATCCACCGCCTTGTAGGTCAGGCTATTCAGCCAAATGCTGCGGGCGGAGTCCAACAAGCCAACCTCCGAAGCACATCCGGCACCACTCGTGCAATTGCCCACTAATGCAGTCATATACCTGCGCGCAAAGCACTCAGCATCGGGTGCTGGAACGTGCGCACACTACTCTACCGAAATTCGGGTGAGTGCCCCGAGGGATGCAATGCACAGGTCGCGATGGGACGGTCGCGCTACTACATCAATATTGCGGCGCTCAGTGCGACCCTCCACACTTGCATGTAGCTGACGCTGGCTGTACGTTCTACTGGGTGACAGACGCCACATCAGCACCACGTAAACATGAGGTCGGATTTACACTATCCGAACGCCTCAACAGCCAGTTGCTGGGTAAGCCGACAGGCACCAGCGCGCGACTGATGACTGCTCGCCTACGACTAGAAGGAGGTAAGTTTGCCACTTTTATAAGCACGTACGGTCCGGCCATGTGTAAACCCGATGATATGCGTGATCAATTCAACACTCAGTTATCCTCCGTGATACAGCCTGTGCTGAAGAGCGACCGACCTGAGTGACTGGAACGAGCGCGTTTGGCGTGATGCATCGGTGTGGAAAGATGTCATCCGTCCGCACGGCATTGGTTCAGTGAATGCAAACGGTGACAGCCTGCTCTCACTGTGTACCACTCACGGCCTGACGATCACGAACACTCGGTTTGCACTGAGTGCGAGTGATGTAGCAACTTGGACGCACCCACGGAGTGGTCACGCTCACCTGCTCGACTATGTCATCATACGTCAGCGTGATATGCGTGAAGTGCACATGACACGTGTACTGTGTGGAACTGTGTGAGGCATTGATCACAAATTGGTGCGGACAAAACTGTACATATATTTTCATAAACCTATGTATTGCCCTTCCGCCGTGAATCGGCATAGATTTAACATTCTCTCTTTCGGTACTGTGGCGAAACGTATTGAGCTGAAGAAAGCGATGGCTGCACCCCTGTGTGATGTGGAATGCATAGCCACCGTGGGCGACCTGTGACACCACATTCGCGACTAGGTGACAGCTGCGGCCGAGGAGACCATCGGGCGCGCAAACTGTAAGCGGCCTGACTGGTTTGATGAGAACAATGCGACGATTGGCACATTGGTGTCGAAGAAGAATTCAGCATTTGCTGCACATGTGGCAGACCCCAGTGACTTGGAGAAGAACAGTCAGTTTCGCAAAATTCGACGGCGACTGACCCATGAGCTCCGTCGCATTAATAACGCATGTTGGACGACGAAGTTAAAACAGCTACGCCGAAGCATGCTACGCCGAACGCCGCTAACACAAGGAATTCTTTGACTCTCTGGAAGCGGTGTAGGGGCCGAGGTTGGAGTCGGTGAGG